GTTTGCAGAGCAACCAGAAGTGAGAGGGTCCAGACAGGTAGCGCGTTTGGCTCCGATTAGTATTCTGGCTGACCGTGCGGCACAGACTGAGCGCGAGGCTGCGTATGGGGACGGCACCAGGATATTGCCACCCTCAAGCTCTGTTCCCGGACATTTTGGTTGGAGAAAGGACCAGATCCTTCTAACCGAGTGTACAGTTTGCCTTTGCGACAAGACGATCTTATATGTAGTCGAACATGAATCTCAAAAATCTTATGGAGTTTGAAACTCCATGAGAATTTCTACAAGCGGTTTGAAATGACCACGGATTGAAGTGCTTTTAGTACAACGTGCTCCACTTGAATGCAATGGCAGTAATTGGTTACTCTCACACTTTGCCTCAATTTTCTTCGACGAAACTTCTCACAAAAATGTTCTTCTTCATCCCATTTTAAGTAGTGGACTGGATCCGTGTTCCGTGGCGGAACTCTCTAATCAATGATCCCAAGAATGGGGCCGTTCAAAAGCAGTTGGCACGATAATTTCATGTACACTTTGAAAAAGAGCAAAGGTGCCCAGTAATGCAAAAATAGTGAAAAAACGGGGCGAAATGGTGGGGAAACAACGAAATGGGGGCTTTATTTCTTCGCTGCACTGCGGTGGACGAGCGAACGGCTGGGACGGGCGCTGCTTTGGACGAGTCTACCGATTGAACCGTTTACTGCTGGCAAGAAAGCCACCAGTAAGCGGTTTTTTTCTACGTTACACTACATTACACGTATGCATGGGCGTTCCACAGGGCACGTCCTCGTGCTGTGATGCTATACGTCCAATGGTAGGCGGGCGGGCGAGGTGGGCGTCCGGGTCGGTATGTTGCTGCTCGATAGGGCGCTATAAGGGTACCCTCCTTGGAAAAGGCGCTACGCAGCGCCTGTTCAGGGTCACGGAATTCTGTCATGACATCGTCACGTCTTTGGGGATTTGTCGTGTCAACTGCCTTTAGATCATTTTTTGTCCAATTGTTGTATTCGAAGGAAGCAGAATTTAAGAATTTCTGAAAACCGTGCTGATACTCGGTAACCGTTGTCATGCTTCGAAAGGCCATTAATCCTGCATGTTCGACAGTTTATTTATAAAAATACCCGGGGTTCTCTGCATAGTGAAATAAAGCCGAGCTATTCGTTGGAATTCTGCCAATCGATGATTCGACAGATCAACTCGCTCGGCTCGATCGTCGAGCCGTTGTTCTACGGTGGAGAGCAGTAATGACTGAACTAGGTCTTCTCTGGTCCAAAAGAACCTTTAGGAGTGTAGACTGGTAACAGTTTCAAAACTGAACAAAATCCAGACATGTACCCTTTGCCAATCATCTTTGTTTTCTATGAGAGCAGCTTGCAAAATAAGTTTGTGTTGTGGATTGAAGCGATTGCCAACGAGCTCAATTTTTATCTGAAATGCTTCTTGCGGTTTTTACAGCACTACTACTACTACTTCTTTTTTATAGTTGATACTGAAGCAATCAGCCGGTCCTGTTAACGCAGGGCACGCCATTGCGCTGTGATAACTTTCTGCTAAATACAACCTCCCTCTCCGAAAGTGGGTCTCGCTACACTCCCTCCCCTCAAGAAATAAAGACAGAAACGGCAATAAGCAGATAATATCGAATAAGATACTTGAATTTTAATTGTTCCCGCACAATCAGAGAATGCGCGCGGTGCAAAACGGCTTTTTACTGTTGTACAGGGGTATGTGACAAGAGAATCGTAATTCACCGCGCTGGTAGGCGTCGCGTGCGACGTCGCGCCCGCAAATGACGATGGTTCCAGGTAGTAGATGGCGACAACAGGCAATTCAGCAATAGTTGTGAATGTCTACGATGACGACGGGGTCCACGTGAAGTCCGGTGCTCCGATCGACAGATCAACACGAGTTAAGAAAACGCAGGGCCCATCTGCCAGGCGGAGCCGCTAATTACAATCCTCTTGTCCTTTTCCCGTTGTACTGTGGCGACCTGTTTCACGATGTGCGTTGCAAAATAAAAAAGGAGCGAAACTAAAAACAATGCCGGAATCTGGAAGATGCTCATTTTTGAGCACCTCATTTCTTTCTACTACTCAAATGATTCCTCTTATGATTCTGTTGTGACAAATCTGTCACGAGAAAATCTTGTCACGAAGTGACCCGCATCTCTGGAGCAGTACCATTCCCAGTTTTTTTGAAAACTTGAGTAAACTTCTGGAACACATATTTCCGTCGAAGCCATTGGGAAGTAGTTCATTCAGCGGCGATCATACTCTCTAGATTGCGCCATGCATCTGACTCCCACGCGATGCGTTTGGAAGATGTAGCTTCCAGGTAAGACTTCTCCATGAAAGTAGATGTGCTGCTACGGTTTGAAAAAGCCTGAGCCCATACTGTGTTTCATTTGCTGTTGACCATTCACAGCTTTCGTGGGCGGCTACCGTGCTACTTGTCACCATTTCTCACTTCTAAGCTTGCAACTTGCTTCTGCCTTCGGGTGTCTCTTCACAGCAAGAACCATAGGTAAGTAATTTTTCGATCACTGATTGTACGAAATCTCAGAATTATTGTTCTTCCCACTTCCTAATGAGCCCTGCGCTTGCGACCACCTCCCTCCTTCGCTGTCAGCTACGACCCCCATCGTGTTTTCACAACGATGGCGTGTCCTGTAGCCAGGAGGGATGAAATGAGCCAATATGCTGTTCCTACTGATTGCGGCGGTATCAACTATCCCGCAGTTGGTATGAACGTTCTCAAAAGAAAAGTACCGGAATAGGATTATCATCTGATAGTATTCCGCAGTTGGGGTTGACTATATACCTTGTAGGTGCATTCGTCTGGAAAATGGTAACTTTGTTCTACGGCTACTGTGATCAAGATGAATATACCTTTAGACAACATTTTATGGAGTGATGGGGAACGCAAGAGTTATAGTCGTGACTCCTGCAAATGATAAGGCTTGTGTTGAATCGCAGCTAGAAAAATCCCTTCCGCCAATTGCTGCGGGCTTAGGATGGCGTCATTGATGGGAAGGCCGCCTTGGCAGCGTTCCAATCCATGTCCCGTCTCACGCCCTATCGTTTGCAGGGGTCATGGCTGCATATAACTTACAGCTTTCAGAACGTACCTGAAATCTATAGGAAACTAAACCGATTTTTGGCATGCGTTTGAGGTGAAGGATTTGTGATGCATTCTTTCTTTGTTCAACATCAAATACTATCAGAGTCTGGAATAGCGTGCCGTTATACTTTCTCGTCTCTCGTCTCGTCAGTGAAGAATCGTACGGCACCCGGTCCCGACAGGATCAGACCCGAACATCTGAAGAATCTTCCGCCAGTTCTTGTCAAAACTCTGGCTCGACTCTTCACGCGCTACCTGTCGGAATGCAAGGTACCCACCTCGTGGAAAACCAGCAAGACTGTGTTGCTGTACAAGAAGGGAGACCTGTACGACATTGGCAATTATCGCCCAATCTGCCTGCTGTCTGTAGTCTACAAACTCTTCACACGAGTCATCCTGAACAGGATTGGCAGAACACTAGACGAAGGACAGCCATGCGAGCAAGCAGGGTTTCGAAGAGGATTCAGCACGATAGATCGACAGAAGTGACTTGATCATCGGGTTCAATATACTGAGTGGGTCATCACATATAGATTAACAGGTTGTCGTTCCATTCGTGGCAGGGGTTGCCATTGGGTTTCTCTCCTGCGCCGACTTAGAACACGATGAATCATACCATTCGTTGAGAGATTCCTTGAAGAAGTCTGACCATCGTATGTGGTCGTCCAGGCGTTCGCTTGACATTCTGTGGCATAAAGTCGGTGCGCTTGAATCCAAGCGGTCGTCCTCCTCATCGAAACTGCGTGATTGATGGCACGTTTCTGGCCTACTGCATGGATCATGGTGACATTCTTGGGCATACATACCTCTTGGCGCGAATGCGGCTGGCGTTTCTTCTAGATCTTCGACTCGTTCGCTCGCGGACGATAGGTGGCAAGTCCTCGGGCCGTTTCATCCTCAATGCCGGTTCGATGCGGCGTGTTCACCCTAACGGCTGGGGTACTAACCTGGGCAGGAGACTTATCTCGTGATAGCATTACCCGATTCTCGATGGCGCGTTGAATAACGCCGACCGCATGCTCATCCTGCTTTCGTAGAGTCCAAGTCTCTGAGGCGTACGTCAAAGCAGGAAGGACCGCGGAATCGAAGAGGTAAGCGTTCGCCTTCTTCTTCTTCTTCTTCTTCTCCCTAGCGTTAGTCCCGCGCCGTCGCAGGGTCCGCTGTTCTTGTTAGATGTCGCCACTTGATCCGATCCACTGCATCTTCTGCTGTGGCTTTTACTTCCGTGAGGTCCCTCTTGATGACGTCCCTCCATCTCTTCTTTGGGGCTCCTCGTGGTCGCTTGCCCTCTACCTCGAGTTCCAATGCCTTCCTTATTGGGTGGTCTTCAGGCCTCCTCAGAACGTGCCCATACCATCGCAGTCGCTGCTCTCGTGCCTTCAGCTGGATCGGAGCGGTCTGTGTGGCCGCTCTGACGTCCTCGTTTCTGACTCTGTCGAGTCGTGTCCAGCCGCAAGCCCACCTCAGCATCCTCATTTCAGCTGAGTGTAGCTGCCTTTCATGGTTCTTGCAGATGGGCCAGCATTCGCTGCTGTAGAGCATTGTAGGCCTTACCACTGCCCGGTACACCTTGCCCTTGAGCGTTCTCGAGCACCGTCGGTCGCATAGGATGCCACTGGACTCCCTCCATTTCATCCAGGCTGCGTTGATTCGGGCTTTCACCGCCTGGTCCACGCTGCCATCAGCTGCTAGGTTGCTCCCCAGGTACTGGAAATCCTCGACCCTTTCGATGCTCTCGCCATGGCGATCTACGATGACTTCGGCGCACTCTTCGGAGCTTAGGAACTTGGTCTTCTTTACGTTCAGCCGGAGTCCATTCGCAGCGAGCACATCCTGCACCGTGACTTTGTTCGCTGAAGTTCGTCTGCTATCCGCTATCAGGGCGATGTCGTCAGCATAGAGGATGGTTTTCAGTGGTCCCTCCATGAGTTCTTTTGCCATGACATCTAGAGTCAGGAGGAAGAGGAACGGGCTGAGGGCTGATCCTTGGTGTACCCCAACCGTAATGTTTACCTCCTTTGTCAAGCCGTGAGGGGTGCGTACAGCTGCTTTAGCCCCATCGTACATGTCCTTCACTATGGAGATGAGGTGTTCCGGAACGTTACGTTCTCTGAGCGCTCTCCAGAGTACAGGCCGAGGCAGGCGGTCGAATGCCTTCTCAAGGTCCAGGAAGGCTAGGTAG